TTTTTTTTTTGTTCAATGAATTTTCGTAATTTTTGGTTGCAGTGAATTTCTCATCAACGCCTCTTTAATACGGATACGAATGAAAAAACGTACGATATTGCCAAAGATAACAGAAAAAACATGTTTCACAGCTTTGTAACAATTACAAATTCAGGTCAGAAACAAGCTTACAATGTCTGGTAAATAACAGTGATAATATTAGTTTTGGTAGTATTAATGATATAATTAATTGTAATAACAGTAATAAAAAAAAAATAATAATATTAACGGCGATGATAATAAAAATAAAAGTAACGGTGGTGATGACAGTAGTATTAGAAAAGTAAAACGAATATTTACCTTTAATTTGTGAGAAATTTTTACTCATCAAAAAAGTGCATATTTTTGGAGCTTTAGAAATTTTTTTCACAATGTTTCAGTAATACGTAACAGAGTCGTTTTTACAATTTTGAAAATCATATGAAGAGTAAGTTTCAAGAAAAAAAAAATTTTTGATCTATGCTTTGTAGAGAAGACTGTTAAAAAAAATTCAAGATGCAATGTAGAGTGCCATCAGCAGTGGGTTCTTTCGTTTTTTTTTATTTTGAATATTTATTTATTTATTTATTTTTTTTTGGATTGGATCAGCAATTTCTGTTATTAATATGAAAGTAAAAACGGCAAAGAGAAGGATTTAGAAAGATTGATATTTTGTCAGCGATAAAGCTTTTCGATGATATTCATTCTGAAGAAAATCTGTGGCTTAGGAATCAAAAATGAACTTTGGTGTATTTTTTGGTAAAGTTTATGTAAATAAATTATATATGTATACATTGTTGATGCGATGTAAAAATTTTCGCATTTTGTTGGCAGATCTAGAAGGCGTTTGCTGCTTTGGTAAGTACAGTTGGCCAGTGAACCCTTTTGATCACTGGCATCAACGATAATTGAGTCAAAATAAGCAGTATTACGTTTAGTTGTTGTATACCTTAACATTTAAGAGCAGTATTTGCTGTGGAGCAAAAAGTTTACCATTTAAAACAATTTTCCACTGCACTGCACATATTTTTTGAGTTTGAAAATTGCAAATTTATTGTAAGGGATGAAGATTGTCGTTGAGTTGTTGTTCAGTGGTCGCTCGTTTTAAATTGACTGCAAATCGCATATCAGCGTTTTGGATTTATTTTTAAAGAGAAGAAAAGTAAAAAGGAAATTTTATTTTTTTTTTAATTTAATTTCCTTACTGAAGTCCAGTTTTTCAAAAAAATTTGGATGATAGTTGTAACCGTTCAAAATGGTTAGAATTACACTAATTAATGTGTAGGAATTGGTTTTTCTTTCCCTTCTTTGTTGTTATCATTTGATTAGTTGTTCATCATGCTTTGATGTTGGGGATGTGAAGGAAGGTAACAAGTTTTGAAGCAAAAGCACAAGTTTTTATAATCATAAGGCTTTGGAAAATCTGAAATATTAGAAGAAATTTGGAGGAACTTCCGAAATGATTTTATTGAATTTTTCCTTAAACTGGTGGTGACAGGTATTTACCTCTCCGTTGTTTTTGTTCAGTTTGCTCTATCTTTCTAACAGCTTATCTGAATATGATGCAGAATAAAGCTTAGATCATTTGCTTAGTTAATTAAGGGTAATTATGTTTTATTAT